TCTAAGTATCCTTCATTGCTCACCTGCCAGTGGGGGTGAAGGACAGCAAGACAAAATCAAAGCCAGCTGCATCAGGAGATCCTTCCCATGTGGGACAAGTCCCAACTTCCATATCCTCCAAAGAGCACACCTGGCTTGGGATGGGACTGTAGGAGACTCAGGGCAGAAGTAGTCACCATTTAGAAGAAAGCAGGCCGGTAGGTAGGTAGTCATTACTGAGCTCACTCTGAGGCCAGTATGTTTCTGGATAGAAGTTCATTTAGTTCTACTCAAAATCTGCATGAGATAATACTCCATGCTCATGGATTGGAAGAATCAACATTATTAAAATGCCCATACTACCCAAAGCAATGCACAGATTTAATCCAGTCCCTATCAAAATTCTAATAGTATTTTTTTTCACAGAAATAGGACAAAACTTCAAATCAGAGGGGGGGATGAACCATGAGAGACTATGGAAAAAAAACTTCCTAAAATTTATATGGAACCACAAATTCCATGGACAAAGCAATCCTGAGAACAAAAGAACAAAGCTGGAGGTAACATGGGCGCCTGGGTGGCTCAGTTGGTTGAGCGACCACCTTCGGCTCAGGTCATGATCCAGGAGTCCCTGGATCGAGTCCCGCATCGGGCTCCCTGCTCCGTGGAGATTCTGCTTCTTGTGTTTTCAATACAGACAATATTTTCAAGACTTGTTTGTAGTGTGCTATAAGCTGCACATTTAGAGCACAATTTACGTATGTTCTGGGGCAGCTTCAGAGGTGGCCTGAGTCATCCCTGCAGCAGAAGTACCTACAGACGTCATATGAGAAGCAAACAATGCTTTGCTATGACCACGAACTTCATTTGGACTCTTGGTGCTACCAGGAAACCCACTATTTTCTCAAATCAACTTCCCTCCCACACTCTGTAATGAGAATCTCAAAGACCTGTGCTTTTCCAGCCTCTGACGTCCTTGGCTCCTGCCTGACTTGGCAGAACACAATGCCTCCTACTCTACACACATACAAGCCAAGTCTATGAGCCCCTCACCCCCTGCCACTGAATGCAGAAGTCCATGTTCATTGCCCCACTCCCCTCTTTCACTGGTTGGAGCAGGGAGCACTCCCTCCTTCCAGAGAAGGCCAACCCCACAAGTGTGCTTCAGGATCCTTTTCCAGAAAACCTTATAGGACTGATAATTCTACTGTTCTCTCATATAGTCAACCTCTCTCAACTGGACCCTTTCCTTCAACCTGCAAACAAGCAAATGTGTCTCTCACCTCAGAAATCAAATAAAACAAAACCCCTCCATTGCCTGCATATTCCCATGTCACCTTCACAGGCAAACTTTTGGACAGTTGTCCGTGATCATCTCTATTCCTCCCCTTATGTTAGCTTGTCATTTCATTATAATCTAGCTTCATTTCCATTACTCACTAAGATTGTGCTTGTCAATGTCACCATAGATGTCCAGGGTGTTAAGTGCAAAGGAAATTTCCAGGGTCAACTGACCTGACTTGCACAGGAGAGGATGCTCTCATACTCTCTTTACTCCATCCAATTTCCCTGGCCCCGGTTGGTCTCCTTTTCTGGCTCATCCTCCTCTAACTGATCCATTAGATCACAGCTTGAAAGTCATGGTTCTGGAGAGTCTTCCCTAATGTTCCTACATCATTATCCATTACACATTCTTAGGGCACCGCAGATCCCTCCAGGCACAGGACTGGCCAATCACGCTTTTGCATCTATGTGGGTAGTATCTGAATACTGTTTAATTTGGAGTAGGTATTTGACAACTCCCCCACTATGCCATAAGCTCCAAGAAGAAAAGAATTGGGGTCTATTTGTCCATCATTGTGTGCCTGGCCCCCAGTAGGCACTCAAATATTTGTTCAAAAGTTAAATGAAAAAGGCTCTGTCTCACAGGACGATGGTATTTTACTTGGCCAATCAGATTCTCTCCTTCAGAAGCATGCCTGGGAAATACCGACCAGCCCCTTGGAAGAATGAAGGTAAAGGAGGAGATGTAAACAGAGTCCTGCTGGCTAAGAAAGCATCAGTGGTGCTGACCAAAGCCCAGGGCAGAACTCAGAGCCTCCTGCGGCAGGGGGCTATAGCCCCCATACTCCAGGGCTGCCCCAGGTCCCAAATAAGAGCTGCCCCCAAGTTCAGGGAAGTCCTAGCCCCTCACTACTACATATATCCTTGAAACAAACCCCATTACTTTTTTTTTAAGATTTTATGTATTTATTTGAGAGAGACAGAGGGAGCACAAGCGGGGAGAGGGGCAGAGGGAGAGGGAGAAGCAGACTCCCCGCTAAGCAGGGAGCCCACCATGAGACTCGATCCCAGGACCCTGAGATCATGACCTGAGGCAGACAACTGAGCCACCCAGGTGCCCCAAACCCCATTACTTGAGGCAGCTTGAGTGGTGTCACTTTCTTACAGCTGAGTCTAAATAAAACAGGAACTCCTCAGCAGGGAAAAATTACTGGAGAAGTAGTTCTTGTGGATGAGTTGAAATACTCAAAGTAGAAGAAATGAAAACCTAGGTGCCTTACATAACTTTACCCCCAAAAGACTTCAAGATCTCTTTTGAGGAGATTAGTTGTGCCCTGGAATTATTCCCAAGACCTGTGCCAAAGGCAGCAAACTTTCCTTTACAGAGATAAGGATTAACACTTACTAAAGACCCCTGACTGTTGTTTCCTGATTTGAAAGGCTATTACCTTGTGCACTGCATTTGGGACTTACAAAAATAATTTGTTTTTCTTTGCTTTCTAAAGAGTTTCATATATGAAGAAATAGATGTATACATATAAATTAAACTAGTTAATTTTCTTTTCAAACTGTAACTTACTCAGGGCTTTACGAGACATTGGAAGTTAAATGTGAAAACTATGTTTAAAGTCTAATTTATGACGTCCGAGCTTAGCCAGATCCCTAAAGGCAAAAATTCCAATGCCTCAGACTTATGACCAGATCATATTAAATTTAAACCGAGTACATTAAAGGGAAAAAAAAATAATCCTAGTACTTTCCAACTCTACACTGGGCAATAGCAGTTACTTTACTAAATCTTTTAATGGTAGTTTGCAATGAAGTGCATGATCTTAATTTGCCTTGTGGATGAAATGATGGCTGAGCAGACCCACAGGCAAGCCCAGGTCACCGCCCCATTTTGGTTGGCAAGAGGACATGTCCTTTTACAGACTGCGTAGCATAAAAGATCTCCTTTGTGTTTGATTTTTAGAGTTTTTATTTAAATTATGAATATTAAAACAAACAGGGCACCTGGGTGGCTCAGTCGGTTAAGCTCAGGTCACGATCTCAGGTCCTGAGATCGAGTCCTGTGTCGGGCTCCCAGCTCAGCTGGGAGTTTGCTTCTCCCTCTCCCTCTGCCTGCTCCCCCTGCTCGTGCTCTCTCTCTCTCAAATAAATAAATAAAATCTTTTTTAGAAAAAGATATATTTCTTTCTTAAAAAAAAAAAGAATATTAAAGCAAACAAAAAGTCAACATGTAGTAGATTACATCAGCCAACAGAGGACAGATTAGACAGCTTGGTTTTTCTTAGGGAGACAATGTGTGGTGACAAAAGCACAATGTTTGGCGTTAGACAGACCTGGGTCTGAATTGTGTCTCCACTACTTCCCACCCAACAGGGGAAAGTTCATAACCTTTCTGGACCTGGTGTCCTCATTGACAAATGTAGGCTGATGATGGGACAGTGAGAAAATTAAGTAAAACAACAGTTTGCCTATTATGACTGATACATAACATTTGATACTCCATTTGTTAAATGCAATGATTTATTTGGCAAATTGCTTGCATATTATAAAGAAGAGGGTCACCACACATTTTTGTGAAACTTAGAAAGAATCCTTTTTTTTTTTTTTTGCCTTTCTACTACATCAAGTGAAGAATAGAAAGTAATGCACTTTAGTAAAGGACATAATAATATGGACTGCCAATTCCATGACATTCTTGGAAACCTAAGTACTGTGTGGCCTTATCAATAATGCAATAACTTCCAGTTAGTTCAGAGGGGGCTTTTGTCAGAAAGAAACAAGGGGACATCAAAGCAACCCTAAATATATACATCCATATTACCAAATGCTCCCCAGAAAGGCATGAGCAACCTATTCACAGGATCAAGCACCTTCCCTCACCCTCCCTGCTGGACTTCCTCTGGTGCCTGTGTACTAGAAGCACAGCTCACTAGAGCTCTGCTTAGCAAAGACAAGCCCCGAGCACACTGGGGGAGCCCACCTGCTGATTTCTTTCCCCACCCATCACCTGTGAGTTTCCATTGGCCAGACCTGTAGTTAGGATTAAGAAAAGTGAGGAGCTACTCTTCTTCCTATTCAACATCAATGCAAATTGGTAACTTGTAACAAATACCTTTTATATAGAAGGAAAAAATACGATCAAAAAGATTATTGTTAAATACAAAGAAGAAAAGGCAAAATTTTCTCATTTACAGTTGTATTCCCACCATGCAGTGGGTTTTCGCCTCCTGTTTACTTGTTAAATGAGAAAAATGAAGGAGTGAAGGAAATGAGCCAATATTTAATTTAAATACATTAATTAGGGCAGGTGATTTATGGAGAGGAATGTCTCTGGAAATGCAGGGAAGCCACCACGTGATAGTACAGGGAGTAAGAAGGGAAAACACAGGAATTCATGGGGCTGAGGCAAAGACATTATGCCTTAGGATTTGGATCACCTAGTTAATTGGAGTTGCCTGAGTAATATATCTAGAGTGAGAGATAAAAGTTTGAATGAAACAAGCAGCAGCAACATATCTGTATTTCACTCTGAGATTCAAATCAAGGGTCATAGTTGGCTGACTGAGGCACATAACAAAAGGGCTTTATATCCTGCTAGAAGCTTGATAAAAGAAGGCATGCTATAAGCCCCACCGTGGAGAGAGATTTTGCTCCATTTGCTAACTGTAGAAAGGTTTCTAAAAAAAGGCCGAGAGCCCTTCTGTTGTGTTTGTATGGAGTTCACTCACAGTGTGGCTCGTAAGGAGGAGGAGGGTCTCCGCAAGGTACGCACTCCATGTCTTGAAAACCAACAAGTTTTGTCTTCCTATAAAATCTAGAAGAGAAAAGAAAAGAATCCTCGTTAGCTCTTTCTTCTAAGCTCAAAGTTGCAACAAACAGATTCATGATAAATTATCAGTCCTCTCCGTTACCGGTTTTATTAAAAAAAAAAAATAGCAACTCAAAGGCTTAAATACAACAGTATCTTAGACAGACACATCATTAGATGCAGTGACCATTTAAGAAATATCAATTTTACTAAACATAACTTTGTAAATTCTACTCAGCCCCACTATACTGAGGTGGTGGTGCTGGTGAGGGAATAGGAAATCAGTGGTCTTTGGCATTTCTATTGTCATTTAAACGACAAAACCCCTCCTAAATCAAGTGCCAGTTTTTAAACACTTGAAATTCAGAGACCAAAAAAACCAAGCAAACTATAAGAGTAATGGAAAAATTTAGGGAGATGCTTATACAGTCTTCATAAGGGGATCTAGAAGGATCTAGGCATGATAAGAAACTCAGCAGCCAGAATGGAAATCAACAGTTTTCACCACACCCCTCACACCCCCCACAAAGACCCACACACACCCACACATACACACACATGCACACCCATGCACACCCATACATACACACACGCATACACACAGATGCAGACACACATACACACACCCGCACACCCTCCCCACACATATAATACACATTTGCACGTACACACACACACCTGCACACACATACACAGAGACGCACACACACCCGCCACACATATGCACACCCTGCCCACACACAATACACATCCCATGCACACACAAACACACACACACACACAGACGCACACACACCTGCACACACATGCACACCCATACATACACACATGCATACACACACCCGCGCACACACACATGCACACATACACACACATGCACGCACATGCACGCACACATACACACAGATGCAGACACATATACCCACACACACCTGCACACACACATGCACGCACATGCACACCCATACATACACACATGCATACACACAGACGCACACATACATACAATATTAAAGACATCTGAAGAGCAAAAATAAAGCATTAGCAACACAGTTAATGGGCAAAAGAAAACTGAAAAATAGTTCTAATCATAGTATCCTCTATAACTTCAGTCTGTAGTAGAAACCTTAAAAATCACAGTGGTAAAGGTGAACACTGCAATTGAAAAACAGGCAAAGGACATTAATTCCCCAAAGAAGAACATTTCATAATTTTAAAACTGCATAGTTGAAACTCGAAAGAGCATGATGCAATTAAATTCTTAAAAATTTAACATGGAAATGTTTAACCTCATTAAACTAATCGAGTAAAGGCAAGTTGCAATGAAAAGATCCCAGTTTTACTTAGAAAACTGGGCAAGTGTTGGTTTCACCAGGGGCATTATAAATTGCTACTTGTAGGAGGGCAGCATAGCACTATGTCATCAGAACGCAATAAAATTGTTTGAATATCCTTTAACCAGTAATTTCATTTTTCCGAGGTTTATCCTAAAGAAACAATCAAGTGGGTGAAGCTGTATGTATAACAGTGCAATCACAGTATTGTTATGAAAGGGAAAAACCCAGTTAGGCACAATTTCAATAATGTAACAGGAGATATGACTAACCATGGTAGTCCCAAGGCAATGGAATACAAAATGTCCTTTAAGAAACAATGATGTAGATCTCCTACTATACGTATTTTTTTTTAACTCATGAAATAGCAGTAAGTAAAAAAAATAGGAAAGGTGAGTAATATAATTATATATTGTACAGGCACATACTTTGGTATATAGCTCCTTTCAGATTTTTTACCAAAGCAGCTAAAATAATTTACACATATATATTTGCATTGAAAAAAATTGGAAAGATATTATATACCAAATATTAACAGTGATTATTTCTAAATATATTTCAAAATCTATTTTTCTATGATGAAATAGTGATATGGAGAATAAATTTGCAGACCAAGTCTATAGAGGGCAAGATAGATGTAATTATTTTGTGAAATTGGGTATTGTAGTAGCAAATATGTATGATTTATGGTTGAAGAAAAATCTGCATTTAAAACTAGGTAAATTATCTCAAATGCCCAGATACATTCAGTATTTGCTTAGCCTTCCTTTTTCATACTTCCTGATACTGAAACATATCACAAAGCTATAATAATCAATGTAGTGTGCAATATACAATACAGTGTACAATACACAATACAGTATAATAAACAGTTACAGCTATAATAATCAATATTGGCATAAAGACAGACATGTAGACCAAGAGAACAAAACAGAGAGCCCGGAAATAAACTTTCACATATATGGTCAAATGATCTTCAACAAGAGTACCAAGACCATTAAAAGGGGCTGGGATAGTCTCTTTAACAAATGGTGCTGGGAAGGGGCGCCTGGGTGGCTCAGTTGTTAAGCGTCTGCCTTCGGCTCAGTCATGATCCCAGAGTCCTGGGATAGAGCCCCACATCAGGCTCCCTGCTCAGCGGGAAGCCTGCTTCTCCCTCTCCCACTCCCCCTGCTTGTGTTCCCTCTCTCGCTGTGTCTCTGTCAAATAAATAAATAAAATCTTTAAAAATAAAAAAAAAGGTGCTGGGAAAGCTGAATATCCACATGCAAAAGAATGAAGTTGGAACTTTATCTGACACCACATACAAAAACTAATTCAAAATGAATTAAAGACCTAAACATAAGGCCCAAAACTATAAAACTCCTAAAAGAAAACAGGAAAAACTTGATGACGTTGAATTTGGCAATGATTTCTTGGATATGACATCAAAAGGCAATCGAAAGGCATACGTGAAACAGACAACAAAAGGAAAGATACATTGGACTACATGAAACGTAAAACTGTTATGCATCAAAAGATACAATCAATGTATAGTTATCCCCAAACTCATCAATTTGTATACATTAAATATGTACAGCTTTTTACATGTCAATTATACCTCAATAAAGTGGTTAAAAAAAGTTAAGTCACATCAAAAAAGTATTAACTGATAATAAAATAACACTTTTTTCGGGATTAAAAAAAAGGATACAATCAACAGAGTGAAAAATGAACCCACATTAGGGGAGAAAATATTTGCAAATCATGTGTGGAAGAGATATCTGCACATCCATGTTCCTAGCAGCACTATTCACAATAGCCAAAAGGTGAATGCAGCCCAAAGGTCCGAGGAGAAATGTACTTTCACATCCTACAGCATGGATGAACCTTGAGCACATGTTAAGTGAAACAAACCAGTCACAAAAGACAAATATTACATGATTCCACTTAGAGTAGGTATGTAATCAAATTCATATAAACAGAATGTAGCCACTGGTTATCAGGAGCTGAGGGGAGGAGGAAAAGGGGAGTTATCGTTCAATGGGTACAGAATCTCAGTTTGGGAAGATGAAAATGTTCTGGAGATCTGCTCACAACAATGTGAATGTACTTAACATTGCTGAACTGTACATTTAAAAATGGTTAAGATGGTAAATTTTATGTTATGTGTTTTTTACAACAAAAATGCATAAAAAATTTAAAATAAGGTAAAAACCATAGGCCAAGGTAAGAGAGCTTTCTTATTAAAGATGTATTTCTTACTAAACCCTGTAATATATACAAACTAATATTATTTATCCTTTCAGCCAGAAAATTTGCCAAATTATAAGTAATTGAACACTGACACAGTCTAAAATAGTTTTATACATAAACACTCATTTTATATAAATATAATCAGGACAAAAAGTGAAATAAAAAATGTAATATCCAATGTTTCATATATCAACTTTTGATATAGAAATACATACATTTTCTATATCAACTATTGATTTGGAAATACATACTTTAAACATTCTCTATATCAACTATTGATATACATACAATTTCTATATTAATCTTTGATATAGAAATACATACTTTAAAACTTCTTGGAAAACAAACATAGACATTTAACATTTTTAAAATAAATCTAGTGACGGAACAGTCTTGAGGTCTGAGCTTTCCCTGACAACTGAATAAAATAGCCAAAAATTTATTGATTAAAATATGGGTTTGAGCCATCATGGAAATGAGGCTAGAAATTACATCAGGGTTTGAATGATTATTAAATACGAAGTAGAAATAGCTTGAAATCCTACCTGGAAATGAGGTTGAGTGGGCACACGGAGTTGCAAGGCTCCCGTGTGTATAACCACTGCTCACAAGGAGAGATGATGCTTGGACGTTACTCTGAGAGCTGCTAACAGCAGCCGCACAGAGATTATACAAACGCACTCAGAATCTGCTCTGCCAGTTTCTTTATGCCAATGGCTTCCTGGCAGAATCTAAGATTTTTTAACATAATTCTTTAATTTAATTTTAAATTTTAATTTAATTAATTAAATTTTTTAATGAAAAATAATTTTTTAACAAAATTTTCAAAACCATCAACTGATTCTCCTTTTTTCCTGTCTTGTACAACGTGAGATTAAATAGAACCCTAAAACACAGAATATTTACTAAATTGTAAATGATATACTAACCATCATAGACATTGTGTTTTTAATTTTTAGAAGAGTTGTCTCAAAATTATCTGCCAATTTGAAGACGATGGTACAGAAATTAGAGTTTCAACATGTAATTGAAAATATTAAGTGCATAAATAAATGTATCAATCTTGAAAAATTATTTTACTTTTTCTTGCTTAGACTGCCATGGTTTTGGGGACACAGAAACATTTGCAACTCTGCTTTCTGACCAAGTGAGGAAGGACACAAGTTTTAAAAAATAAAATAAAAGGGATCAGGGACATTTACAGGTGTCTGGTTAAACTGGCTTCTATAGTTGAACTTCAAATTTTACTCTGGGCATTCAGATAGCTAATGAAAAAAAACAAAAGGAAATCATATTGGATTCTACCTCATCATGGTTTGATGAGAGGCAGCACGTAAATACATCTTTTAGACCCCAAATTTTCTCCAACACTGAATTTGGAGAGGAATTTTTAATTGAACTGAATCCAAATAACACAGTTTGCCTAATGAACACTATGTTTGAAGAGTGCTCTTTTAAGAAAGCCTGGTCGTAGGGCCACCTGGGCGGCTCAGTCGTTAAGCGTCTGCCTTCAGCTCAGGTCATGATCCCAGGGTCCTGGGATCGAGCCCCGCATCAGGCTCCCTGCTCGGTGGGAAGCCTGCTTCTCCCTCTGCAGGTCACTCCCTCTGCTTGTGCTCTCTCTCTCTCTCTCTGACAAATAAATAAATAAATAAAATCTTGTAAAAAGGTCAGCTATCATCATTACTAGAAGCAGCAGAGAACTGGCAGGGGCTGGGTTATTCTTTCAGGCCGGGCCCCAGGTCCCCTTAGCAGAGAAAGGATGGGAACGCAGGAGGCGGAGAAGGAGGCCGGAGGCCCACTGCAAAAAAAACAAAACACAAACAAACAAAAAACAGTCGTGTAAAGCTTTCACTGGCTCCCAGGAACATTAATTGGTGAGGAGGTCAAATATGTATTTCATGCTTACTGTGGATTAGGCACTCTGCTTGGCACTTTGCACGCATTATAGTCTCAATCATTACACTAATTCTGTGGGTTGGTATTATTAGATGATCATTTGTAGGTGAGAAGAATGGGTGTCAGAGAAACTAAGGAATTGGCCTAAAGTCATTGAACATATTTGGGAACAAGGGGACTGGCCATCTCCAATCACTCAAATTGAGGGCACAGAGGACAGAGTATTCCCACACGGTACCACTACTGGGAAAAAGGCCACTACTGTCCTGCTGGGGCTGAGCCTCTGGGCAGCAGAAGACTTATCTGGGTGAGGCTGAGGCTTCAGAAGGCAGGAGTAACATCAGAAATGAAAATGTCCACCCTCTGCCTGCCTTGGGCATCACTTTTCTGGGAGCAATATGCAATTTGTTTATTTTCTTTCTGCCTCAATTTTCCTGTCTATAAAATGGGTTTCAACTATTTACCTTCTTCACACAAATATAGTGAAGCTGGGTGAGCACTTTAAAACACTCTGGAAGGCCTGGGTAAAAGTCACTATATAATTATTGCCTGCCTCGTACATTCATGCTGGCTTAGAAAGGATGTAATTTTAAACTAATCATATAAATAAACTATGAAACATCATTCAAATGTCTACTCACTTATATATGACTTTCCCACATCTAAGCATTTACTTAAAGAATGAGCAAACATTGTAAAGGCTAGAGCCGTGGGCTCAGATGACAATGAATGAGGTTAAGCATGAGGAAGCACTTTTGGTGGGAGGTCATGGGGAGAACACACCCTCTCTCACACTCTAGCCGCATACCCCTGTGGGTTCCCTCTTTGTGAAAACCGGATCCCTTGGTCCTGTGCTTTTCCCTACTCTCTCTGCCCCTGAATCTCCTGTGGACCTCCTCTTCTCCCTGCCCCACAGAGGAAGAGAGCAGATGGAGACTGACACGCTTTTAGCAGAATTGTAGTTAAGAACAGCAGAGATGAGGCAGATGTTTGGTTCGTGTTCCTCAATTATGTTTGCATAGGGTCAAAACTCTGGGTACTGATATTCACAGGTATCAGCATCACCTGAGGTTACAGACCGTTCCTTTTTTTTAAGTAGCAGATTACTTGAGATCTAATTCACACATATTAAATCCACCCATTTAAAGCGTACAATTAAATGGCCTTTAGTGTACTCACAGAGCTGTGCAACCATCAGAACAGTTTTAGACATTTTTATCACACCAAAAAAGAAACTCTGTACCCTTAAGCAGTCACCCCTCACTCTTCCCAACCCCCGGCCCCCACCAACCGCCAGCCCCAGGTAACCACTCATTTACCTTTTCTTTGTAGATTTGCCCATTCTGGACATTGCATATAAACGGAATCATATAAAACATCTTTTGTGATTGGCTTCTTTCACTTAGCATAATGTTTCCTAGGTTCATCCATTTTGTTGCATGTGTGAGTGATTCATCCCCTTTCATCACCAAATAACATTCCCTTGTTTGAATATACTCCATTTTGTTAACCCATTTATCAGTGGATGGGTATCTGGGTTCTTCCCACTTTTTGACCATTATGCATAATGCTGCTATGAACATTTGTGTACCCATTTTTGTGTGGACAGGTTTCCAATTGTCTTGGTTCCATACCTAAGAGCAGAATTGCTCGGTCCCATTTTAACTCTATTTTAACTTTTTGAGGAACCGCCAGACTGTTCTCCAAAGCAGCGGTACCATTTTCCATTCCCACCAATGGTGGACAATGTTTCCAATTTCTCCCCATCCTCACCAACCCCTGTCATTGTCTTTTTGGTCACAGCCATCCAGTTGGCTTTAAGTATGTGGTTTTAATTTGCATTTCCCTGATGGCTAATGACATTGAGCATCTTTTCATGTGATTATTGGCTGTGTATCTTCTTTGAAGAAAGGTCTGTTCGAATCCTTTGCCCATATTTTAATTGGGTTATTGGTCTTTTCATTATTGAGTTATAAGAGTTCTTTATATGTTCTAGATAAGACAGTTCCTTATCCCATATATGCTTTAGAAATTGTTCCTCTAATTCTGTGGGTTGTCTTTTCATTTTCTTGATGATATCCTTTGAAACACAAAAGATTTTAATTTTGGTGAAGTGCAAGGGCTATTTTTTCTTTTAATCCTTGTGCTTTTGGTGTTAGACCACCACGTTTCATACCTGTTCAGGTGCTGCACCATTGCATAATATTGCATAGGGTCACAGTTGGCCCATCAGGCCATTTCTTACCCTGTTTCTGCCCTTCAGGCCCAGAGGTTTGTCTTATCTTCTGCCCCTCAACAAGAGCCCCAGAGCCCCACTGTGCCATTTGACCAGAACTACTCTGATCTGTGGGCATGTTCTGGCTAAGTCTAGTTAGAGCCCTGCCTCTGCAGTGACTGGGAGCCCGGATTCCTGTGTTAGACTCTTAGAGTCCCTGAACTCCAGGGTCACGTCCGCATTAGGGCCTGCCTGTCTCTGTGGTCTCTGTGTCCGCAGCGTTCTTCCCCCACACACCTACTCAGCAAACTGCCTCAACTCCTCCGAGTCTTGTTCGGAGCTCCTGTACCCTGGTCACCCACCCAAACACTGCCCTTTGCCTACCCATTGCTGCGCATGCCTAATCCGCCTTATGTGCTCTAGGGTCTCCTTCTTCCACAGAAATCATCCTCTGCTACCTTTCTGCAGAATTTACGTCTTTATTATTTACCATTTAGATCTTTCTAAAACCCTTATTAGGATATAATCTCCACGTGGGGAGGGTTCTTGGCCTCTACCTCAGCAACGCCTAGCTTCTGCTAAAGCAATGCCTCCTAGCTGCTTCACAAATACCCGTGGAAATGAGTGAATGGCTGTGATTTGCATTTCTCTGATCACTAACGAGGATGAACATGGCCGTATGATCACAGGCCGCACGTGTTTCCTCTTTTGTGAACTGCCCGTCCCCTCTTTTGTCCATTTGTCCACGTTTTCTTTTTCATCGATTTATAGGAAACTCTTTAGATTCTCGTGACACTAATCCTTTGTTAGTGCGCTTATTCATTTTATTTATAACCGGCGCCCGTCACAGCGCACAGCCCACGGTGGGCACAGAGGAAGTCACGACCACCCGACAGAGGCGTTCAGGTTCCTGTTGGTGTGTGTTCACCTTTGGGAGGGAACAAGGGAAATGCCTGTTTAAAAATAATCCCATAATTACGAGGGAAAGAAATCGCCCGACGTACCCCGGCAGGCAGTCCCCACAGACGGCATCGCTGGTGACGGAACAGTTGGCCTTCTGGAAGCGGTTCACCACGGCGCACTCCAGGCACGGCTTGCATTTCTGAAAGCCCCAGTCCTCCTTGAACCGGTGCGGCCGGCATGTCATGCACTGGGCATCCTCCCCGTAGCCAAAGCCGCATTCCTGTAGGGATTAACAGGCAACAGAACGCTATTCAGACGTGGCAAGCGTGAAAAAGACGGCTGGGATAAAAGGAAGACCTGGTCTAATAATTACCGAGTGCCGGCCTTCCTGGATACAAAGGCGGCCCTTTCAGCAAGTTCAAATGTGTCTCCCACTGCTAATAATCTCTCTTACTACCGTAAGTATACTTAGTCATCCACTTTATTCAAGAAGCCACGAGCATTTGAATAATAAAGGTTCTCCAGGACCCCCACTGCTGCATTATTGCTAGCTTATGGCAGAATTATGGCACTTTCTTCTTTTCTAATTAAGCCAGTCATGAGCATGTTCAGAAACTAAAGTCAGGGAAATATCCAGACACTTACTCACTTATCGAGGCAGAAAATAAGTACTTTGATATCAACAGTGATATTTTAGAAACGAGGCTAACTGTGTAAGAAATTTCCTAAACTGACAAACCTAGAAATCTAACCAGTAGAGAGCATCGTCACATGTTAGCTGTGTATTGTTGTGTGATAGCAGGAAGATTCTGACATATTTCTTAAAAGAACACTAAATTCTTGTGTGAATTAAACTGTGTGATACAAATGGTCTCAAGCTTCTCTAGATTTGAACATCAGAACACAGTACTGCTTTCCAAGGATGGGCAAAACAGATGGTTCTTTGATGCACCATATGATCATTTCCACAAGGTCCAGAACCAAATAAATCATAGCCTATCATATAATGTAAATACAATGCAACCATAAGTAGAATGATGTAGATATGTGTTCATGGTAGCTTAAAAAAGTTATAATACAGAATTAAAAGTATGATCCCATCTCTTACAAAAATATTAATAATTACTACTAACATTTATTGGGTGCTTACTCCGTGCTGGGAACTTCCTTAATTCATACATCTTCCAAATGAGGGAAGCACCATCATTATTCCCATTTCATGAATGGGGGTATGGAGCTTCCCAGAAGGTACGTACCTTAACCAAGGTGACATAGCTCATGTTAGAACCAGGATTTGAACCTACACCATTTAATTCTGGGGTCAGATTCTATACCCCCACACTGTAGGATCCATCTGGTACTTTAACTCTCCACATGGAGAGCATGCTGAACAAGCCCACAAACATAGCTCAGTGCAGGAGAGGGAGGAAGGACTCCAACAGAATCTCTTAGTTTCCTTACTTGTAAACTTTGGATGCAGAATGCAAATCCCCGCTAGTTCAAAATTCCCACTGGCCTATCAAATTTATATACTTAAAGTCCTTTACCTGTATTTAAATGCACAGTCAATTAAGCAGTACTTACTGGTCAAAAATTAAATCAAAACCAACACAAAGGATAGTATTCCCTAGAGTATTCCCTGTACTCAACAAACTACTGAATAAAAGATTCTAATAACACTTCAGTTCAGTTTTACTAGTTAACTCGTGCACATCTTGGAGGAGTGATACCCTCCTTCCTCTTTTCAGTCACTCAACCAACCTTTCAAATGTGTACCCTGAACATGCACAACAAAGAGTGGGGAAGGAAAAAAAAGCAGAAGGTCACCAACCTTCTGAATCCTGAGTGCTCCAACTAGACAATGTTCTAAACCAAGGCACAGACAGCGGAAGCAAAAAAAAATTTGAAGAACTAATTCACAATTAGAATTTCTTTAAAATTGTTAGCAGGGATTATCTTGGGGGGCGGTGAGTGAAATCATGAGGTGTTTTGAATTTTTATAATTCTGCGATCGTTTAATTTTTGCCAAATAGCACCTATTACTCTGGCAATCAGGAAAACACCGAAGATATGTATTCAAAAAGAATTTCCTGGGGGCGTGGACTAGGTCTTTGCGGGGAGGTCCCTGCCATTTTGGGTGCTTTGTTTATGGGCAATGAGGTTCTGCACTGGGGCAGAAATGTGTTTTTGCTAAGTAGTTGCTGAGACAGCCGAGTACATCCAAAGACTCTCCTTCAGTGTGGCATGAGCCGCCCTCTCACAATCTTCCAGGACCAAAGTGTGGTGCATGTGACATTCGGAAGCGGGATGGGGACCTCGTTGTCCACAGGCTCAGTATCTCCATGTCAAAGGTTCATGCAAGAGCAAAGTTCCAAAATCACACTTTGATCCGGGCAGCTTGGATTGTAAGGATGTCATGTGCCAGTTACAACTCAACAAAGAAAGGAAGGAAAAAGGAAGAGAGCAGAAGGGAAAACAAATGGAAAGAGAAACGAGAATGAGAAGAAGGTGTATTAACTGGGAATGAATGTCTGAAATTCTGTTTTTCAAGCGAGGCTGACATAGGAGAAAAAGTATATTATCTTCCTTCAGTGGAGCCAAAGACACATGACTTGGAACGCCAATTCTGCCACTTGTCCAATAAGCTATTTTGGGAACTCTCTGACCCTCAGTCTCTTCATCTCTGAGATGGCGATAGTACACATCTGCCCCACAGGGTTGTTTTGAGGAATAAACAGGAAAAAAACATATAAAATTTGGAATCTATAAATCAAGCACAGAGTAGGCATTCACCAAATAAATGATACCTTTTTAGATTCTCTACAACCCAACAAACCAACTTTCCTGATTCAAGTATAATAAAGCCTCACTGGGGAACAAGAGGATCTTTAGACTCCAATTTTTTCTGAGTTACCTGAAACATCAATTTTCATCTAAATTATTTTTATAGAATAAAAATATGTCTACAATGAAAATGGTACATAAAATATAATTTAACCATACCTACTTGAATCAACTACTGCGTTGTGTTGTAATATAAGAAACTGGGAAGCCCCGGTGTCTATATAGGCAGCTTTGTTGTTTTAATGGCCCTGCCAGGCAGTCAACTCTCATTCCTTCATTGTATCCGACAACTCACTTCCTCTCTCCATTCCTGAGAAACTAGATGCCTATCCGAGCGGACATGGACTTGAAAGAATTGACAGACTCATCTCTTTTGAAAAATAAGGGGCATGTAAGTGTTGGGAAGATCTGTGCTTATTTTTTGATTCCTGACTGTATTTTAGGGTTTGTGTTGCACATACATGAGGACAAATTTGACCATGGTGTTTTTGCCACATATCATTGTGTGTCATTTACATGTCACTGTACTTCATAGACTGAGGATTTCATGAAACTTTTTTTTTTGGTCCATTCTATATTGGACCAAATCATGTCTAGAAAAAAACAACAGGGGCGTGGGGGTGGCTCAGTTGGCTAAGCATCTGACTTAGGCTCAGGCCACAGTCTCAGAGTCCTGGGACCGAGCCCCACGTCAGGGTCTCCGCTTCTCCCTCTTGCTCTGCTCCTCCCCCAATTCTCGCGCACACATGCTTGCTTGTGCTCTCTCTCAAATAAAAAAAAAACAAAAAAAAAAAAAAAAAAAAGAAAGAAAAAACAACAAAGCCGGGCTCTAAATGCATCATATATATTAACTTTCTATTTCTGCTTAGAGTTTATATGTCTTAGTGACAACAACAGTAATTTCGGAGTAGATTTATATGAGAGGTTGAGATAAGGTTGTGTGTCCATTATGATCACAAAATAATACCTAAGCATATTAAACAGGTACTGTGAACGAGACAGTCTCCTGGGAACTTCTATAGAGACTGATTATTTGGGGGAATTTAGTTTAAAATACATTTTCTCTAAAGTACTTGTCATTTTTTAAAAAGATAGTATCAAAATACCAAGCAAATACTATTTTTAAGCTTTTAAAAAATGCTTGCAGTTCATGATAGTCTAAGAAATTTATGAAGTGATCGTTCTCAACGTTAAATTAACTCGAAGCCTTGACTTAACTAGAAAGTCAGGGAAGTTATTTCCAAGGAATTATGTAACAGCACAGTAGGTGTGTAGCAACAACGCCTATGAGCGGACTGTCATATTTCTAGAGCACCTTAAACAGAGATGCTGCAATTATTTGAAATACAGGCTATAAAGTAAACAGCATATAAACATTAAATTATCCCCAATATAAACGTCTACTTTGATGTTTTTATTTCATTCAGTAAAAAGAGGTGGTTAAAATGCCTTGACACTTTCCCCATTAAGTTCAATAAATAACTACCAAGAGCAAAAGAGAAAAGGCTGAACAGATCGACAGCCTCCTGGCCAGGGTAGCACTGCTGAGCATGCGCTGAAATTGTGTCTCTGTAAACTCGTGTCCACTCCCCTATGGCCAGCGACGATTTCTGGTCCCTTCTCTTTTTATCACTTTTTATACTGAAGAACTACTACTAGACACAAGATTTTTATAAACAAGTCAAACAGTACACCTTCCTTCCTATCCCTGGTCTCTTCACTTCCTATTCCCTCCACACAGGCAAACACTGTTCCCAGGTTTTGGGAAAACCTCCCAGAAATATCCTAATATCCTGTGTGTGTGTGTGTGTGTGTACACACTGTTCTGCACACCCTTTTTCAGTTTTCCCCACTCAGTGCATCTTGGAGAGTGCTCCCTATCAGCATACACAGAGCATGCCATTGTGTGGCTACAGCTGAATTCATTCTACTGGAGTCTGGTCATTGCTGCATCTCAAGTGCAGGACGCAGGGGGCAACCACGGATGTCTGCTGAAGTAGGTTGGCATTGATCACGTGGTCTAATCATGTGTCTAATGAAAACAGTATCGAACCTTTTGGGTCTTCCCCTTATTACTTTTGAATACAAAGGAGGCAATTTCCCTAGGCAAATGGTTTCCCACAGCAGACTAGTATACTACCGTTGGGAATAAGATAAACAGTAGGAATGGATTTTTGGTGAGATAAAACAAAGAGTACTTAAAGAAGAGAGTCAGCTAGACATGCTGACTCTGGTTAGGTTTACCTCATTTTTGACCAAACTTCACAGGCTCCTGTGAACTACTTCCTCAATTGGGCCCCAGCCTTGGGCCTTGTCCTCAAGAGCCAGTTGTCCAAGAATCCCGTACAGTCGGTTAAGTCAGAATCTCCCACCCCCCTATCTGCTCACCCTCGATCCCTGATCAAACTGCCTCCTGCCCCTCTATCTCCTGACCCA